CCTTGGGTCTGACTTTGGGGTTGGTTTCTCTGCTTCTGTTTGGGGGTTTGTTGCCTGATTCGTGCCGGTCTGTTTGTTGTTCTCTCTCTCTCTCCTCTCTCTCTCCTCTCTCTCTTCTCTCTCTCTTCTCTCTCTCTCTCTCTCTCTCTCTCTCTCTCTCTCTCTCTCTCTCTCTCTCTCTCTCTCTCTCTCTCTCTCTCTCTCTCTCTCTCCCTCTCTCCCTCTCTCCCCCTCTCTCCCCCTCTCCCTCTCCCTTTCCCTCCCCCCCCCTCTCCCTTCCCCACTCCCCCTCCTCTCCCTTTCCCTCACCCTCTCCCTTATCCTCCGCCTCTCTCTCTCCCTCTCCCTCTCCTCCTCTTCCCCCTTCCCCCTCTCCCCCTCTCCCCCTTATCCCTCTGCGCCTCCTCTCTCTCTCTCTCTCGCTTGCTGACATGGACAGGTTCCTCTTCCTGGCTGTACAGTTGCGTCCAAAAGTCGCTGGTCACCGTCGCGTCGGGGCGGCCAAATATGGTTTTTGTTATTGTTTGTTGGAACAGTGGGTCGGCCGATGGGGGTTCGTGAATAAATCCTTGCGTGGCGTATTGTTAATTGGTTGGGGGAGGGGGGATAGGGAAGGAGAGGGAGAGAGGGGAAAAGGGGGTTGGGGTGGAGAGGGGAAGAGGGGGGGATAGAGGAGGGAGGGGAGGGAGAGGGAGAGGGAAGAGGGAGGGAAGGGAGGGAGGGGAGGAGAGGGAGGGGGTGAAGGGGAGGGGGAGAGGAGGAGAGGGAGGAAAGGGGAGGGGGAGAGGGAGGGAAGAAGGGGAGAGGGAGGAAGGAGGGGAGAGGGAGGGAAGGAAGGGGAGAGGGGAAGAGAGGAGAGGGGAAGGGGAGGAGAGAGAGAAGGAGAGAGAGAGAGAGAGAGAGAGAGAGAGAGAGAGAGAGAGAGAGAGAGAGAGAGAGAGAGAGAGAGAGAGAGAGAGAGAGAGAGAGAGAGCAGAGAGAGACAGAGAGAGACTGTTGACAGGTAGAAGATGGAGGCGGCGGCAAATCCGATGCGATATTTTGGCTCGCGGAATTATATAATAATGGCGAAATTGATCTAGTCCAGCCGCGGATGGCCGTGCTTTGAATAATTGTCGAGGCTGGCTTTTGCGGGAAGGGGAGGGCGAGAGGAGGGGGGGGGAGGTGTTGATCGGTGTAAACAGAATGGGTAATGTTATTGCGAGTCAGCTGTTTTGACCCGTGCGATTTTTATCGAAGCCAAAGCCTTTTCTACATTTTTAGATTTAAGTTTTTGTCTATTTTTTCGTTTTTTTCCCCTCTTTCTTCATTTCCCCTTTCCTTTCATTTTTCCGTCTATCTCTATTTCTCATAACTTCCTCTCTGTTTTCCCATTTCCTCCTCTTCCACCTCATTTCTTCCTTCCTCTCTCTATTTTCTTTTCTTTTTTTCCTTTAACCCTTCTCTCTTCTCCCTCCTTTCTTCATCAGTCTCTCTGCCATCCTCTGCTTCGTTCCCTCCTCCATGTCTCTTCCCTCGCCTCTCCACCTCTCTCTCCTCCTTTTCTATCTATTTCCCTCCCATCCTCCTTCCTCTCTCTCTCACTCTTCCATCTCTCTCCCATATCTTTCCATCTCTCTCTATTTCCATCCATCTTTCCCTCTCTCCATCTTTCTCTATGCTCCCTCCTCCTTTTTCCATCGCTCTCCCTCCCATCCCCCGTTTACTCTCCTTCCTTCCCCTCCTCCGTTTCCTCTCCCTCTCTCCTCTTCTCCCCAACCGGAATGGTGTTAGATCGGCCCCAAAATACCCGGATGAGCCAGCGCTAACTTCGGTCATCTGTTATCCCTCGGTAATTCCCTGGAAAGAGAGGGGGCGGGGGAGGGGTCGAGGGAGGGAGGGGTCGAGGGAGGAAGGGAGGAAGGGGTCGAGGGGAAGGGAGGAAGGGTCGAGGGAGGGAGGGAGGGTGGGTTGCGATGGGGGCGGAGTTAGGGAGCGAGTGAAGTTAGGGAATCGTTGGGGAAGGGAGGGGGGGAGGGTACGATAGTGGCGGGGAATGGGAAGAGAGAAGAGGATGAAGAGGAGAGGAGGAAGGGTAGGTTTTGAGGAATTGGGTGAGGATAGGATAAGTATCCCGAGGAAGAGGGGGAGACTTGGCGAGATAAAAGGGGAGAAAGGGAGAAGGAGAAGATAACATTGGATGAATGGGAAAGGGATGATGAAAAAGAGAAGGTTAGCTCAAGAAGAAAAGTGTGAAGAGAGGAGAATATCCAGGGGAGAAATGGGGATTGAGAGATGCTAGAGCATGAGGAAGAGAGATAGGAGGAAGGGAGAATACCTTGAGAGGCGAAGGGAGAGAGTGAAAGTGAGAAATATCCCAGCACGATATGAAGAAGAGAGGAGGAGAACGAGTGAAGATAATAAAAAGAGAGAGGTATATCCCAGGGAGATGAGGGGGAAGGGGAGAAAGGGAGATATATCCCAGGGAGATCAAGGGGGGAAAGGGAGAGAGAGAGAGAGTCCACACAGCATCCTAACGCTTTTCTTTGCATCTTAAAGCTGGACTTCACAAGGGTGCTTCAGAGTTTTGCAATGGCCAGTGGAAGGAGGAAAAGGAGAGAGAGAGAGGAAGAGAGAATAAAGAAGGGAAAATGAGAGGGAGAAGAGAGGAGAATGAGAACGAAGAGAGAAGGGAAGCAGAGGGGAAGGAGATGAGAAGGCGAGAGGATTGAAAGAGTTGAAAGACCTGTGACGAGCGTTAAGGAGATGGATTGGAGGTGGATGAAAAGGAACATGAGAGAGGGAAGAGAAGAGGAAAAGAAAGAGAGAAAAGGAGAGGAAAAGAAAGGAAAGGAAAAAGAGGAGGGGAAGAGAAAAAAGGAAAAAGAGAGGAGGGGAGAGGAAAAGAAGGGGAGAGGGAGAGAGGGGAAGGGAAAGAAAGGAAGGAAAGAGAGAAGGGAAGAGGAAAAGGGGAAGGAGAGAGGAGGGGAGAGGACAGAAGGGGAAAGGAGAAAGGAAAAACGAAAGAGGAAATAAATGAAAGAGGAGAGGGGTAGACGGGAGAATAGAAGGAAGAGTAGAGAAAGAGAGGTAAATAAGAAGAGAGAAGGGGGGGACCGGTAGGCAATAATGGAAAATGGAGATAATGATGATAATCCTAATAAAATGGAAATGAAAAAGAATGAGGAAGAATGGAATAAAAAATAAAAAAATGGAAGAATGTACATCTGAAGTGTACTCAAAACTTTTCTTTTTCTTGTGCTAATATTACACTAATCCTTGCCTTACTTTGGCTTTTTGTCAAGGTTCCATTCTCTCTCTCTCTCTCTCTCTCCTCTCTCTCTCTCTCTCTCTTCTCTCTCTCTCTCTCTCTCTCTCTCTCTCTCTCTCTCTCTCTCTCTCTCTCTCCTCTCTTCTCTCTCTTTTTCATCTCTCCTCTCTCACACTCACACCTCACACACACACAAACTCTCGCTACACACCTCACACACACCACAACCACACACACACACACACACACACATTTCCCACACAATCCACTCACACACACACACACACAAACACACACACACACACCACACACACAACACACACACAACACACACACACACACACACATTACAACACACACATTAACACACACACACAACACACACACACACAAACACAGCACACACAGATATATATATTGTGGTGTGCATATACACATGTATGTATGTATGTATGTATGTATACATATAGACAGACAGACAGATATATGATGGATACTCCGTTGACCGCGCAGGTTTTAGAAATTTCGTGACTTGTCATGAATGCGGAAAAGTGGAACTGATTTTTTCCCCTTTTTTTGAAAAGCTGATGTCGATAATGAACTATTGGATACTCACATTGTGTTTTTCCATATGTGTTAGGGGATGAGTTTGAGGGGAAGGGGAGGGGGGAGTGAGAGGAAGGTGCGAGGAGGAGGGAGAGGGGAGGTGCGGGAGGGGAGAGGGGGAAGGGTGTGGGAGGAGTAGGGAGAGGGAAAAGGGAAGGGGTGTGGGAGATGGAGAGGGGAGGAGGGGAAGAGGGGATAGGGTGTGAGGAGGAGAGGGAGAGGGGAGGGGTGGGGAGAGAGGGGGAAGGGAAGGGGTGGGGAGGGAGAAGGGAAGGGGCGGGATGAGGGAGAAAGGGAAGGGTGGGAAGAGGGAGAGGGGAAAGGGTAGAGAATAGGAAAGGAGAAGGGGTGGGGGAGAGGGAAAAAAGTAAGGAGTGTAGGAGGGTAGGAGAGGGGAGGGGTGCGGAGGAGGGAGTGAACACTAGGTAGTATTAAGGGATTCGGGAAACCGTTCTGCTTGGTGGGGTGGGGGTGGGTAATTTGCGGGATGAGGAAATGAATGGGAGGAGACTGGAGTGGATGGGAGGACCAAGAGGGCGGGACTGAAGGACAGGAGGGGGGAAGGGGAGAGGAAAACACACCTTTCCATATGCCTACCAACGAAGGTGTAAAAACGGCAACTCAGAGAAAGAAAGAGGGAAGGATTGATGGAGAGAGGAGTGACTGGGGGAAGCGTGGAGGGACGGGGAACAGGCAGAGAGAGAGAGAGTGTGAGTGTGAGTGTGTGTGGTGTGTGTGTGTGTGTGTGTGTGAGAGTGAGAGAGAGAGAGTGAGAGAGAGAGAGTGGAGAAGAGGGAGAGAGGGAGAGACTAGAGAGAGAGAGAGAGAGAGAGAGAGAGAGAGAGAGAGAGAGAGAGAGAGAGAGAGAGAGAGAGAGAGAGAGAGAGAGAGAGAGAGAGAGAGAGAGAGAGAGAGAGAGAGAGAGAGAGAGAGAATGAGAAAATGAGTGAGAGAGAAAAGAAAAAGAAAAAAAAAAAGAAAGAAAAGAGAGAGACAGACAGCGAGAGAGCGAAAGAGCGAGACAGAGAGAAAGGGAGAGTATAAAGCCGCCGCACTCTTTTATGCCATAAAATAGCCCCTCCCCCGACGCGTGCGAGCTCCGTTTATGTTGTATGGGCCAGGCAGCGCGCCCTTCCGACAAGACTTAAAGGGTGATATCATCATACTCCTGCACACGGGCGTCCACGACAGAGGCCCGGGGCGGTGAGCGAGGGGAAACACGAGAGCCTGCAGGTGCGGCAGGAGAGGGGGCTGAGGTGGGAGGCTGGTGTTGGGGGGGGGCAGGTGGAGGGGAAGGCGTGTAGGTTTTTAGGGAGTTGGGGAGGCGGTGTTGGGGCGTGGGAGATGGGGAGGGCCTAGGCGGGCCTACTGGGGTCGGTATAGGGTGGGGTGTGGGAGACGGGGAGGTAGGCCTATAGGTGTTTGGGGAGGCGGGCCTATAGGTGTTGGGGTGTGGGAGACGGGGAGGTAGGCCTATAGGTGTTGGGGAGGCGGGCCTATAGGTGGGGGTGTGTGGGAGAAGGGCCTATAGGTGGTGGGGTGTAGGATATAGGAAGGTAGGCCCATAGGTGTTAGAGTGTGGGAGATGGGGAAGTAGGCCTATAGGTGTAAGGGAGTGAGAGATAGGGAGGTAAGCTTATAGTTTTTGAAAAGTCAGTGATGGGAATGAAGGCTTAATGTTTTTGGGAGTGGGAGTTGGGGAGCTAGGCCTATAGTTTTGGGGGAGTGGGAGATGGGGAGGTAGTCGTATAAATTGTAGGGGAGTGAGTGATGGGGATGAAGGCTTAAAGGTTTAGGGGGAGTGGGAAATGGGGATGTAGACTTAAAACTGTTGGGGGAAAAGAAAAGAGTGCAGAAAAAAATAAAATGTATGAAAGAGATGTCAAAGCATTCAATTAAAGATTGTTGAAAAGCGAAAAAGGTAAGAATAGAAAGGAAGAACGAGAACGAAGTAAAAGAAAGTATTAGAATAGAAAAGAAGATAAAGAGATAAAAAGAAAAGACAAGAAAATAAAGAAGAATTACACAGAAAAGGGCAATAAATAAGCACCCGGCATCCAGTAACAGGTGTGTTTTGGGGTAGGGGTGGGGGTGAGGGGTGGGGGTGGGGGCAGGAAGCCCGAGCCTGCACAAAGTTGCAGGTCGAGGCGGCGTCTCGGGGGTGAGGGTGGGGGGGGGCGGATGCGGAGCGGGGACTTGCGGGGCTTCCTTCCTTGGCGACGGAGGAGGGAGGGGGGGGGAGGGAGGGGAGAGAGGGAGGAAGGTAGAGGGAGAGGGTGAGAGGGAAGGAAGGAGGGAGGGAGAGAGGAAGGGGGAGGGAGAGGCAGGGAGGGAGGGAGGTAGCGAAGCAAGGGGAAAGAGAGGGAGGAAGGTAGAGGGAGAGGGTGAGAGGGAAGGAAGGAGGGAGGGAGGGAGAGAGGAAGGGGGAGGGAGGAGGGAGGGGGAGAGGGAGGGAGAGGGAGGGAAGAGAGAGGGGGAAGGTAGAGGGAGAGGGTGAGAGGGTTGAGGAAGGGGAGGGGACAGAGAGGGAGGGAGGGAGGGAGGTAGCGAAGCAAGGTGAAAGAGAGGGAGGAAAGGGGAGGGAGAGAGAGAGGGAGGGAGGAGGGAGGTAGCGAAGCAGGGGAAGAGAGGGAGGAAGGTAGAGGGAGAGGGTGAGAGGGAAGGAAGGAGGGAGGGAGGGAGACGGAGGAAGGGAGGTAGCGAAGCAAGGGGAGAGAGAGGGAGAGTGATGGAGGGCGGAACTCTCGTCAGGCATTGGGTTGTTTTGTGCTAGGAAGTGAGAGAGAGAGAGAGAGAGAGAGAGAGAGAGAGAGAGAGAGAGAGAGAGAGAGAGAGAGAGGAGAGAAGAGAGAGAGAGAGAGAGAGAGAGAGAGAGAGAGGAGAGAGAGAGAGATAGTGAGAGATAGTGAGAAGATAGAGAGAGATAGTGAGTAGAGATAGTAGAGAAGAATAGAGAGAGATAGTAGAGAGAGAGAGAGAGAGAGAGAGAGAGAGAGAGAGAGAGAGAGAGGAGAGAGAGAGAGAGAGAGAGAGAGAGAAGAGAGAGAGAGAGAGAGAGAGAGAGAGAATATAAGAGAATATAAGAGAATATATATAACAACGATGATAATAGTATGATGGTGATTTATATAATACAAGTAATGTTGTTGACCGATTAGTACCACTTATCTTGTGCTTTTTTTTTAACACGAAGAGTAATAAATATGCATCTCCATGGTCAAATCAGTGCAAGGAAGAGGTTGCCGTTTGTTGACCCTACACCATCGTGTGTTCTAGTTGCACTCCACGTATGTTGCAAACTAGGCAACAAAAGGAAACCCGCCCCCTCCCTCTTGCTTGCGTTTTCTGTATTTGTGAATTTAAGATTTTTGCTGTCGCTGTTGCCCTCTCTTCCCTTCTTCTCTTTCTCTTCCTCTTCTCCCTCTTCCTACCCCTCTTTCCAATCCTCATGGCTCTCCCTTTTTCTTCTCCACCTCCCCTTTCTTCCTTCGTCCTCCTCTCCCTCCCGCACACACTCCCTCACTCGCTCGCTCGCTTGCTTGTTCATCCATTCATTCCCTCCCCCCTCTCTCCCTCGCTCCTTTCATCTCTCTCTCTCCTTTTCTCCTTCCTTTCCCCCAGTGTGCCTCTGCGTGCGAGATTTCTCCCGTGCGTGCTTTCCCACAAGCAATCTCTTGGTTTGAGGGTTAAATACAGCTGTGTACATTCGCGGGTGTTGCGTATCTGTTTTTTGTTGTGTTGGTGTGATGTTTGTTGCTGTGTTTGGTGTTGTTGTTGTTGGGTGGTGGTGATGTTTGTGTTGTTGTTGGTGAGTTGGTTGTTGGTGGTGGTGATGATGATGTTGTTGTGTTGTTGTGCTTTTCTGCTTTCTGTATCCGTGAAATTTGTTGTGGTTGTGCGTGGTCCTTTTTCGTGGTGTTTGTGTTTGATGTTTGTTTATGCCGTTTTGTGTTTTTGTGTGTGTGTGTTTTGTGTTTTTTTTGTTGTTGTTGTTGTTTTTTTTTTGCATATTTGCGAGTTGTTTTTTGGGGGAATGGCTTTATTTTCCGTGATAGTTCATTGTCTCTGTTTGATTGTTATGGCGTTTGTGTGTGTTTTTTTTTTCTTTTTCCTCTTCTTCTTCTTCTTCTTCTCCTTGTTTGGTGCGTTTGTGCAGGACGTCTTTCCCTTCTTTGTGTGTGTATGTGTTTGTTTTTCCAAAGTCTCCCTTGTTCGGTGCGTTTGTGCAGGACGTCTTTCCCTTCGTGTTTGTGCCTGAAGACGCTCCATATTTGCTTGCCTCGAGTGTTTGCCGCCGTGCTCGCGCCTCCTCCTCCTCCTCCTCCCGGCACCTGGGAGCGGCGACGGCGACGCCGACGCTCTGCTTGCTCTGCTTGCTCTGCTTCCGGTGGGATCGCGGGTTGAGGTGTGACGCCGGGAAGGATCTGTTTGCTTTCCTCTTTCTTCTTTGGTTTATCTTCTTGTTTTCTTCCGCGAATTTCTTTTTTTTTCTTCTGCTTCTTTTATTTTCTTTCTTTCGCGAAATTTCTTTTTTTCTTCGTTCTGTCGTTTCGTTTTAGTTGTTTGACGTTTTTCTGTTCTTTGGTTTATCTTTTGCTTCATTTGTTTTTCTTTCTTTCTTTCGGGATTCCCCTTTTTTCTTCTGTCGTTTCTTTCTGGTTGTATATTTTTCTTTTATCTTCTTTGGGGTATCTAATGTTTCATTTTTTATTTCTTTCGTGAATTTTTTTCTTTTCTGTTGCTCGCCTCGAGTTTGTTTTTTTCTCGTCTTCTTGGTATATTTTTTTGCTTTATTTTTCTTTCTTTTCTTTCGTGAATTTTCTTCTTCATTCTGTTCGTTTCGTTCTACTTGTTTATTTTTTTTCTCTCTTCGTTTTGGTTTATCTTTTGCCTTTATTTTTTTCTTTCTTTCGGGAATTTCTTTTTCGTTTTTCTTCTTCTGTCGTTTCGTTTCTACTTGTTTATTTTTTCTCCTCTTTGGTTTACCTTCTGTGTTGTTGTTTTCTTTTTATCTTTCGTGTATTTCTTTTCTTTTTATGTTGTTTCGTTTCTGCAATATATCTCTTTATTCGGCGTGGAGTATTTGTTGAAAAATGAATTTGTTTGATTCATTTTATCTTCTTCTGTTCTTTTATTTCGTTTTTTTTTCTTCTCTTTTTAAGCCTTTTGTTTAAGTGGTTTAGTTCTATCAGAAAGAAAACGTTGTGGGAGGAGGGAGTGAGAATGGAAGAGAAGAGAAGTAACGAAGAAAAAAGAAAAAGAAGAAGAAGAAGAAGAAAGAAGAAAACAAAAGGAGAAGCAAAAGAAGAAAGGAAAAAGAGAAGTAGTAGAAGAAAAGCAAAAAGCAAAATCAAAGAAGAGAAGAAGAGGAAGCAATACAGAAGAAGAAGAAGAGGAAGCAAGAAGAAGAAGGAAGAGAAGAGAAGAGCAAGAAGAAGCCCGAGAAAAGAGCGATGGCGCGGCGCCGGCCACGAGCGAAGAGAAGACAGAGAAGAAGGGGGAGAAGAAGAAGAGAAGAAGAAGAAGAGGAAAGAACGGAAGCAAGAAGAAGAAGAAGAAGAGGAAGAAGAAGAAGAAGAAGAAGAGGAAGAAGGGAAGAAGAAGTAGAGAGGAAGAAGATAGAAGAAGTAGAAAGAGAAGAAGAAGAAGAGGGAGGAAGAAGAAGAAGAAGAGAAGAAGAGAAGTAAGAAGAAGAAGAAAGAAGAAGAAGAAGAAGAAGAAGAAGAGAAGAGAAGAGGAAGAGGGAGCAAAAGCAGAAGAAAGGAAAAAGAGAAGAAGAAGAAGAAGAAGACGACGAAGAAGAAAACAGAAAAAAAAAGAAGTGGAGCATTCAGACGAGGCCATTGCGAGAGTGAATGGAGCTGTGACCCAGGAGTAAGAAGGTGGGGGGGGGGGTGAGGGGGGGAGAGATATGAATGAAGTGAATGATGGACACGTGATGGAAGGAGGGGGTGGAGGGTAGGGGTGGGGGGAGAATGGAGATGGCCGTGAATGGACACGTGAGGAAGGAGGGGAGGGGGGGGATGGGGAGGGGGAGGGGAAAGAAGTGATGGAAGAGAGGGAGGTGGAACGGAGAGGGGAGAGAAGAGGAGGGGGGGAAGAGGAAGATGATGATGATGAGGAGGGGAGAGAGAATAGAGGAAGATAAGAGTAGGAAAATGACGAGGAGGGACAGGAGAGGGGAGAAGAGGAAGGTAAGGCGAAGATGGGAAGAGGGGATGGAAGAAGAGTAAGGAGAGAGGGGTGTAAGAATAGAAAAAAAAATGACGAGGAGGAAAAGAGAGGAGAGGGAAGGAGAAGATGGCTAAGAGTCGGAAGATGAGGAGGGAAGAGAGAGAGAGGGAGAAAGGGGGGGAAGGGAGAAGGAGGGGGGTGCCGGTGGTATTCCCATGAATGGCAACACGACCCGCTTGCAGGATCAACCACTTGCCGGGCCAGCTGGACTACTTGGTGGGTGGTAATAAGTAGGAGGCGAGGGGGCCCTGGACGTGGGGGAGGGGAAGGGGAGGGGGCATGACGTGGGGA